ATTGCTCCCCGGCCTCGGGCGGGTTTGCCCCACTAAATGAACGCCTGCCTCTTAGTCGCAGGGAAGAAAAACCGGACGGAGGACATGCACGAGGGCCAGCCTTCGCACGGAATACCTTTGGGGAGAATCACTTCCCGGCACGTTTGTTTTGGTGCCTGACTGGATCTTCCCCTCCAGCCTGCTTTGGAGAGCAGCCTGAAAGGGAGAAGTCCAACAGGCGAGGCTCACGCATGTAGCTGCCTTATACTGAGTCAGCCCTACAGTCCATAATAGTCAGGACTGTCCACTCAGACTGGCAGCAGCTCTCCAGGGTCTCAGGCGGAGGTCTTTCCCATCCCCTCCTGCCTGGTCCTTTTTAACTGGAGATGCTGGGGACTTAACCTGGGACCATGCCAAGCGGATGCTCCACCACTGTGCTATGGCCCCTCTCTGTGGCTCTCCAGGGTCTCAGGCGGAGGTCTTTCCCATCCCCTCCTGCCTGGTCCTTTTTAACTGGAGATGCTGGGGACTTAACCTGGGACCATGCCAAGCGGATGCTCCACCACTGTGCTATGGCCCCTCTCTGTGGCTCTCCAGGGTCTCAGGCGGAGGTCTTTCCCATCCCCTCCTGCCTGGTCCTTTTTAACTGGAGATGCTGGGGACTTAACCTGGGACCATGCCAAGCGGATGCTCCACCACTGTGCTATGGCCCCTCTCTGTGGCTCTCCAGGGTCTCAGGCGGAGGTCTTTCCCATCCCCTCCTGCCTGGTCCTTTTTAACTGGAGATGCTGGGGACTTAACCTGGGACCATGCCAAGCGGATGCTCCACCACTGTGCTATGGCCCCTCTCTGTGGCTCTCCAGGGTCTCAGGCGGAGGTCTTTCCCATCCCCTCCTGCCTGGTCCTTTTTAACTGGAGATGCTGGGGATTGAACCTGGGACCTTCCACATGCCAGGTAGATGCTCTAGCCCTCAGAGCCACAGCCCCTCCCCTGCTGCTCTGCCTGATGGGTAAGGCCCTTGCAGCTGGAGTAGCAGCATAATACCAGCGTGGTGTAGTGGCTAGAGTCTCATACTAGGATCTGGGAGCCCTGGGTTCGAATCCGTACTCTGCCACGGAAGCTCACAGGGTGACCGCAGGGCAGTCACGCGGGCCGCCTCGCAGGGTCGTTGTGAAGGTAAAATGGAGGAGAGGAGAAAGGTGTACGCAGCTGCAGGTCCCCCCCTTGTGGAGAAAGGAAGGGTATGAATGTGGCAAAATCAACAAATGACACAGAACGAGGACCCCAGGTCTCAACTGCTCCCCCGCCACGGTGCCAGAGCAGTGCTAGCTGGTAAAGGTAAAGGTAAATGTTCTCTTGCTCGAAAGCCAGTCGAGTCCGACTCTAGGGCTGCGGTGCTCATCTCCGTTTCCAAGCCGAAGAGCCAGCGCTGTCCGAAGACGTTTCCGTGGTCATGTGGCAGGCATGACTAAACACCAAGGCGCACGGAACGCTGTTCCCTTCCCACTGAAGCGGTACCTATTTATCTACTTGCAATTTCTTGCTTTCGAACTGCTAGGTTGGCAGGAGCTGGAACCAGAGATGGGAGCTCACTCCATCATGCGGCACCCGGGTCTTGAACTGCTGAACTACCGACCTTCCACAGCCTGCAGTCCAGCGTCTTAACCACTTGAGAAAATGCATTGGCAAAAAGGGGTTTGGGAGACCAAAGGTGATGGAAGACTGGGAGGTCTGGGGCCCAAGGATGCCAGACTCCAGGTGGTGGCTGGAGAGATCCCGACATTACAACTGCGCTCCGGAAGACAGAGGTCAGTTCAGCTGGAGAGAATGGCCGCTTTGGAAGGTGGGCTGGATGGCATTATGGGGACCCAGTTTGAGCCAAACCCTCCTCGGGCTCCGTGCCTAAATTCTCCAGGTAGTTCCCAACCTGGAGTTGGCACCCTACTACCTGGGCTCTTCGGGAAAGGTTTCTGAATGGCTAACAGCCAAGATAACTGAGTGGATCCTCTCTGCAGAATACCTCTGAATACCAGATTCCAGGTCAACAACAACAGTCGAGAAGAAAAAGGAGAAGGAGGAGGAGATTGGATTTATACCCCGTCCTTCACTCGGAGTCTCAGAGCGGCTTACAAACTCCTTTCCATTCCCCTCCCCACAACAGACACCCTGTGAGGTGGGTGGGGCTGAGAGAGCTCTGACAGAAACGGCTCTTTTTCAAGGACAGCTCTTGTCAGAACTATGGCTTGCCCAAGGTCATCCAGCCAGGTGCAAGTGGAGGAGTGGGGAATCAAACCCAGTTCTCCCAGATTAGAGAAGAAGAAGAGATTGGATTTATACCCCGCCCTTCACTACCCAAAGGAGTCTCAGAGCGGCTTACAAACCCCTTTCCCTTCTCCTCCCCACAACAGACACCTTGTGAGCAATGTTCCCTCTATGCTATGGAGCCCTGTGAGCAGAAATTCTACTTTGTGAGCTCCTGGTATTAACGTTGTGAGCAGGAGATTTGGCTGCTGCATAAATCAGTTTGCTCTGGAGCCATCCCTTCCTGAGCTAAGACAAAAATGTGTGAGCCGGAGGCTAAAAAACTGTGAGCTAGCTCACACAAACTCAGCTTAGAGGGAACACTGCCTTGTGAGGTAGGTGGGGCTGAGAGAGAGAGAGAGCTCTTTCCAGAACTGCTCCTGAGAGAACAGCTCTGTCAGAACTACGGCTTGCCCAAGGTCATCCAGCAGCTGCAAGTGGAGGAGTGGGGAATCAAACCTGGTTTTCCCAGATTAGAGTCCGCGCACTGAACCACGACACCAAACTGGCTCTCAAACAGTCTGCCTCTGGTTCTTGGGGGTGGGGGGGATGGGGAATAGAAGGGGAAAGGATTTGCTTCCTGAAGGTATCCGGCTTGCCTCTTCCTGAGACAGGATCCTGGATCCGATGGGCCTGTTTGTTCTGACCCGGCTTCTTAGGCGGATGTGCCATCAGGACCAGTGACTTGCCCTCGTTTCAAATGAAAGTGGATTTCTTCCCCCTTCCCCTTCCAAAACACCAGACTTGACCCCGATATCCCTTTCTCTGTTTCCCTATTAGTGCGCGGAAGTGTTTTCTTTCACACGCTTTGTCCGTAGACACAGCTAGTTTTCAGAGGTGTGGGGTGAGGGCTGCCAACCTCCAGGTGGGGGGCTTGGCGATCTCCCAGCATCACTACTGAACTCCAGACGACAGGGATCAGTTCCCCTGGAGAAAATGGCTGCTTCGGAGGGTGGACTCTACGGCATCGCACCTCTGCTCCCCGAGCCCTGCCCTCTCCAGGTTCCACCTCCAAAATCTCCAGGAATTTCCCGACACAGCGTTGGCAACCCCTGGTGGCTTCCCTGCCGCGCTTAATCTCGACAAGCGAGAGGCGCTGGGGCTTTCACGTGCCCGAAAGTCTCCCTGCACGCAGCCTCCAACCTTTGAGGCCTGCTGTTACGCATTCAGTGGGGACGGAAATGCCTTTTGCACGTGCTCCGAGGTGCCCATCTTGTGCAGCGCTCTCACCCAAAGAGCCGGCATTCAAGCGATCAGACCAAGAGAACCCGGGCGCCTGGCAGGGTTCCCTCTCAGCTGAGTTTGTGTGAGCTGGCTCACAGTTTTCCAGCCTCCGGCTCACGCATTTTTGCCTTCCCGCAGGAAGGAGGGCTCCAGAGCAAACTAACTTATGCAGCAGCCAAATCACTTGAGAGCCAGTTTGGTGTAGCGGTTAAGTGCGCGGACTCTAATCTGGGAGAACCAGGTTTGATTTCCCCCTCCTCCACTTGCACCTGCTGGATGACCTTGGGCAAGCCGTAGTTTTGATAAGAGCTGTTCTTGAAAAAGAGCAGTTCCTGTCAAGAGCTCTCTCAGCCCCACCGACCTCACAGGCAGTGTTCCCTCTAAGCTGAGTGAGTGTGAGCTAGCTCACAGTTTTTCAGCCTCCAGCTCACACATTTTTGTCTTAGCTCAGGAAGGACGGCTCCAGAGCAAACTCATTTATGCAGTAGCCAAATTGTTCGCTCACAATTTAATGCCAGTAGCTCTCAAAGTAGAGTTTTTGCTCACAAGACTCCACAGCTTAGAGGGAGCATTGCTCACAGGGTGTTTGTTGTGGGGAGGGGAAGGGAAAGGAGATTGTGAGCCGCTCTGAGACACCTTCAGGTAGTGAAGGGTGGGGTATAAATCCAATCTCTTCTTCTTCTTGCTCACAACTTTAATGCCAGTCGCTCACAGAGCAGAATTTTTTGCTCACAGGACTCCACAGAAGGCACATTGGCGCCAACCAGTGTTCCCTCTAAGCTGAGTTAGTGTGAGCCAGCTCACAGTTTTTTAGCCTCCGGCTCACACATTTGTGTCTTCGCTCAGGAAGGAGGGCTCCAGAACAAACTAACTTATGCAGTAGCCAAATCGCTGGCTCACAACTTTAATGCCAGTAGCTCACAAAGTAGAATTTTTGCTCACAAGACTCCACAGCTTAGAGGGAACATTGGCGCCAACCCAACCTTGCCCCTTCCTCGCAGCCACGCGACTTCCCCATTTCTTACCATCTCCGTGACTCAACCCCGGCTTGCCTGTCGCAACACGTTCGAGGAAAGTGCATTTCGTAAAGCGACGAAAACAAACCGACGCGCACCCTGCCCCGCGCCTGTCCTCCGCACTGTGGATCTGGGGGTGCACCTCCGTCCGAAGGTGTGCCCCCTCCACCTTCCCGAAAGCCGCAGGCCACTCACCGTGTCCCCTGATGTCTGGCAGCGCATACGAACAGCCCCTGCCAAGCGCCGGACGCCGAGGAGGAAAAGAAGAAGTGAGAGAGAGGAAAAAAACCCAGTGCAAGAGTGTCGAGGCAAGGTTGTCCGGCCGCTGTACAGAGACTTCCTCGAGGCGGCCCGCCCCGTCAGCTGACAAACCCTGACTTAATTCTTCAGCAGCAGAAATAACAGCTGCATACTTAACCTGAGACCCAGGGGAGAGACATGAGACGGGCGGCACGGAAGAGACCTGGACGGTCTGCATACTTGGAGCGCTGAGCAATCCACAGCGATGCCCTGCAGGGCGGTGCCGGTGGCGTTCCGCTCAGGTGGACGGTTCAGTTCTCAGCTTGACCAGACGAGGCCTGCCGGAGGGATCTGGCGGCAGACGAAGGGCTGGGGTGCCCGGCAACATTGGCCTAATGCGGCTCCAGTGTCAGCGTCTTGCGATGTTGATGTGACAAAATGCTGAGCATTTTGGGTAGACTCATGGAATTATAGAGCTGGGAGGGGGTCCTACAGGCCATCTAGTCCGACCCGTTACTCAATACAGGAATAGCCTAGAGCATCCCTGACAAGGGTTTGTCCAGCCGATGCTTAAAGACTGCCAGGGAGGGGGAGCTCACCACCTCCCGAGGCAGCTGATTCCACTGTGGCACAACTCTGACTGTCAACAAGTTTCTCCTAAGATCCAGCCGGTACCACCTGGGACCTTCTGCATGCCAGGCAGAGGCTCTTCCACTGAGCCACAGCCCCTCTTTGCAGCTCTCCAGGGTCTCAGGCGGAGGTCTTTCCCATTACTTCCTGCCTGGTCCTTTTTAACTGGAGATGCCGGGGATTGAACCTGGGACCTTCTGCATGCCAACCAGAGGCTCTTCCACTGAGCCACAGCCCCTCTTTACAGCTCTCCAGGGTCTCAGGCGGAGGTCTTTCCCATCACCTCCTGCCTGGTCCTTTTAACTGGAGATGCCGGGGATCGAACCTGGGACCTTCTGCATGCCAAGCAAAGGCTCTGCCACTGAGTTTTGGCCCATCCCTAATGGAAGCCTTGATTCATCGAAATCAGTATTGTCTACTCAGACTGGCAGCAGCTCTCCAGGGGCTCAGGCGAAGGTCTTTCCCATCACCTCCTGCCTGGTCCTTTTAACTGGAGAGCCCGGGGATCGAACCTGGGACCTTCTGCATGCCAAGCAGAGGCTCTGCCACTGAGCCACAGCCCCTCTTTACAGCTCTCCAGGGTCTCAGGCGGAGGGCTTTCCCATCACCTCCTGCCTGGTCCTTTTAACTGGAGAGCCCGGGGATCGAACCTGGGACCTTCTGCATGCCAAGCAGAGGCTCTGCCACTGAGCCACAGCCCCTCTTTACAGCTCTCCAGGGTCTCAGGCGGAGGGCTTTCCCATCACCTCCTGCCTGGTCCTTTTAACTGGAGAGCCCGGGGATCGAACCTGGGACCTTCTGCATGCCAAGCAGAGGCTCTGCCACTGAGCCACAGCCCCTCTTTACAGCTCTCCAGGGTCTCAGGCGGAGGGCTTTCCCATCACCTCCTGCCTGGTCCTTTTAACTGGAGAGCCCGGGGATCGAACCTGGGACCTTCTGCATGCCAAGCAGGGGCTCTTCCACTGAGCCATGGGTTCTTCCTAAAATGCTTTCACGAGTCAGAGATTTGACTGATTCAACCACTGAGCCACGGCTCCTCCCCTAAAGCTTCCTTATTCAAAATCAGTCAATTGGTCCATCAAAGTCTCAGGCGGAGGTCTTTGACATCACATCCTACCCGGTCCTTTCAACTGCAGATGCTGGGGATTGAACCTGGGACCTCCTGCGTGCCAAGCAGAGGCTCTACCATCGAGCCCTTCCTAAAAAGCTTTCAAGAGTCAGAGCTTTGAAAATGCCCCTGGAACTCTGCTTAATTCTATCTAGAAGGAGATGGCCACTGTGTGATACAGAGTGTTGGACTGCATGGACCTTTGGCCTGATCCAACATTGGCATCTCTTATGTTCTTAAGAGAAGACATTGGATTTATACCCCACCCTTCACTACCCAAAGGTGTCTTAGAGCGGCTTACAAACCCCTTTCCCTGTCCCTCCCCACAGCAGACACCCTGTGAGGTAGGCAGGGCTGAGAGAGCTCTTGACAGAAACTGCTCTTTTTCAAGAACAGCTCTTATCAGAACTATGGCTTGCCCAAGGTCATCCAGCAGGCGCAAGTGGAGGAGTGGGGAATCAAACCCGGTTCTCCCAGTTTAGAGTCCGCACACTTCACCACTACACCAAACTGGCTCTCAGAAGAAGAGGTCGGGCCCTTCACTACCCGAAGCAGCCTCAGAGCGGCTTACAATCCCCTCCCCACAACAGACACCCTGTGAGGTAGGCAGGGCTGAGAGAGCTCTCTCGAGGACTGCCCTTGAGAGAACAGCTCTGAGAGGACTTGTGACTGGCCCAAAGTCACACCAGCAGCTGCACGTGGAGGAGGAGTGTGGGAGGGGGAGAATCAAACCTGGTTCTCCCAGATTAGAGTCTGCGCTCCTAACCGCTACACCAAACTGGCTCTCAACCGACAGAGATCAGTTCCCCCTGGAGAAAATGGCTGCTTTGGAGGGTGGAGTCTAGGGCACAATACCCGGTTGAGGTCCCTCCTCTCCCCAAACTCCCCCACTCCCCAGGGTCCACCCACAGATCCCCAGGAATTTCCCAAAGTAGAGTTGGCGGCCCTGTTGGACGTAAACGTGAACATAAGAGACGCCAATGTTGGATCAGGCCAACACTCTGTCACACAGTGGCCAGAAATACCAGGTGCCATCAGGAGGTCCAGCAGTGGGGCCAGGACACTAGAAGCCCTCCCACTTTTGACCCCCCCCTCAAGCACCAAGAAGACAGCATCACTTGCCCCAGAGCCCCTTGTGGGGCTAATAGCCACTGATGGACCTCTGCTCCATATGCTTATCCAATTCCCTCTTGAAGCCGTCCATGCTTGTAGCCGCCACCACCTCCTGTGGCAGTGAGTTCCACGTGTTAATCACTCTTTGGGTGAGGAAGTACTTCCTTTTATCCGTTCTAACCCGACCGCTCAGCAATTTCATGGAGTGCCCACGAGTTCTTGTATGGTGAGAAAGGGAGAAAAGTACCTCTTTCTCTACCTGCTCTGTCCCATGCATCATCTTATAAACCTCAGTCATGTCACCCCTCAGTTGTCGTTTCTCCAAGCTAAAGAGCCCTAAGCGCCTTAACCTTTCCTCATAGGGAAAGTGTTCCAACCCTTTTCTCATTCGAGTTGCCCGTTTCTGCACTTTTTCCAAAGCTATAATATCCTTTTTAAGGTGTGGTGACCAGAACTGCACACAGTACTCCAAATGAGGTCGCACCATTGATTTATATAGGGGCATTATGATACTGGCTGATCTGTTTTCAATTCCCTTCCTAATAATCCCCAGCATAGCATTGGCCGTCTTTATTGCAGTCACACACTGTCCCGACATTTTCAGTGAGTTATCTACTACGACTCCAAGATCTCTCTCTTGTTCAGTCTCTGCCAGTTCAGACCCCATCAATGTGTATTTATAGTTAGGATTTTTGGCTCCAATGTGCATCACTTTGCACTTGGCCACATTGAACCCCATTTGCCACGTTGACGCCCACTCGCCCATCCTTGACAGATCCCTTTGGAGAGCCTCACAATCCTCACTGGTTTTCACCACCCAGTGAAAGGTTCCAAGAGTGAAAAGTGAATGAAGAAGATCCTGAGATAAAGCTTTGAGGGTGCCCGGGGAACTCCGAGCCCTTCCGTGCTGCAGAAAAACCGAGAGGGGGCTCAGCGGGGGGGGGGGGCGTCCCCCCATGAATCAGAGGCCTCCTCGGCCCACCCTCCCTGGCCCCCTCCCCCCCCCCCGGCCAGCTTTGCTGATTTTGCAGTTGAGAAGTGGTTTTGAAGAAACCCAGCCTGAAACTCAAGGGGGGAACCGAAGAGAGGAAGCGCATCTCTCAACCGCATCAGCCTGGAGAGGAAGCCAGGAGGGGAGGGCCGAGGGGAGGTAAAGGAGGCGCAGCAGAGCTTTCCGGAAGCATCGACTCGGGGCGTTTCCCCCCCTTTCTCTTTTGGCTTCAGAACTGGCTCTTCTGATCTGCCCCATCTGAACGGCAGGCGATTCGAATGCTCTCTGGTTGAGCACAGGACAGCGGAGCCGTTCCTTTGGCCACTTCGAAATCGCAGCCATTTGAAAAAAAACACATCCAGGATAAGAAGATAAGAACATAAGAAGAGCTGGATGAGACCAAAGGCCCATATTATTGGGTTAAACGTATATATATATACAGGGGTTATTTCCTGCGGGAGCGCACAGGAGCAGAGCTCCAGCAGTAAGGAGCCCAGGGGGCGGGCACATGCAACAAGCCCCACCCCCTGCTCTCAGCAGCCCTCAGTCGGGCCATGAGGAACAAGAAGCAGCCAAGAAAGTTGTATAGCCCCCCCATCCCATGTTCAGGTACAAGCTCTCCCTCCTCTGTGAGGGCAGATCTGCGCATTCCTCCCCCCAATAGCTAGCAATCCAAAACAGTCCAGTGGCACCTTTAAGACCAAGTTTTATTCAGGTACAAGCTCTCCCTCCTCTGCGAGGGCAGATCTGCACGTCCCCCCCCCATAGCTAGCAATCCAAAACAGTCCAGTGGCACCTTTAGGACCAAGTTTCATTCAGGTACGAGCTCTCACTCCTCTGAGAGGACAGATCTGCACGCCCCCCCCATCCAAAACAGTCCAGTGGCACCTTTAAGACCAAGTTTTATTCAGGTACAAGCTCTCCCTCCTCTGTGAGGACAGATCTGCACATTCCCCCCCCCCATAGCTAGCAATCCAAAACAGTCCGGTGGCACTTTTAAGACCAAGTTTTATTCAGGTACAAGCTCTCCCTCCTCTGCGAAGACAGATCTGCACGTTCCCCTCCCCCCAATAGCTAGGAATCCAAAACAATCCAGTGGCACTTTTAAGACCAAGTTTCATTCAGGTACAAGCTCTCCCTCCTCTGTGAGGACAGATCTGCTTGTTACCCCCCACCCAATAACTAGCAATCCAAAACAGTCCAGTGGAGACTGAGCAGTGGGTGTTACCTTCTGACACACTTCCAGTGATGTCAGGGGGTGTTTGTTGTTGTTCAGTC